AAATCGGAACCTCACACGTGCTTTTTAAAACAGTTGTACCAATCGATCCGACCGTTAAATCGTCTAGTCACCGGAATAACCTCGATTTGCCACGATTTCTTGCAGATACCTCGTTTCATTAAAGCGTTGAAGAAACTACAGTTGCTATATGAAAATTGTTTTCCGTGTATGATACACATACATATCTTTAAGAGCTGAATGATATTATGAAGAAATAATTTGTGTTGAAAAATATTCCATTTCGTTTTTAGTATTTGCGACATGCATTAAAACATGACGCTGTCAAGATGTCATTACTTACACGTATAAAAATTATTATCTTGAAAGAAATTGTTTAATAAAAAGAGTTAATTGGTACATTTATACCAGGTAACGTAACATGTCACCATAGTCGACACGGCAGCAAATAAGTATTTAATGTCACCTCTAGTAGCATGCAATAAATTGAATTTTACGATCGACATTAAAACGAAAACAAACGTAATCCTTTTTTCTGAAATCGTTCAAATATTTTTCTTTTTGTTAAAAATCATACCGACTTGTACTTCATTAAAAACAAAGAAGACGTTCTAAATGCTTGTTCGATTCTGTCGTTTTTTAATTACCTGTGGTAGGTAATGCCTTCAGACGTTTACCATTCGATTGTTTTCAATAGCATGCCATTATTGTTGCTCATCCAGAGAATTATAATGACTGTACCAATCGATTAACAAGTGAGAAAACTCGCAATGGAATAATTTGTCTCTACGGAATTGTCGAGATAATTTGATGGTAAAAAGTTACAGATAAACGACCGCGGGGTGAATCAGAGTACTCGTAGTTCAAGATCATTTTACTTCCGCGATAAATCTAGCTCGACTGTTTACGAATGTAGACTGAAGACTACAGAACCGTAACGTTTGCAAATTAAAAATACAATTTCCAATTGTTCGATATACATCGATGACGAATTTCAAATTTCGCGCTATTAAATTTTAATCTCTTTCTTTTTTTAATTATGCCAAATTTTGAAACCGATCGATTATTGATACTGACTATCGTCGTCATTTTAGAATAGTTGTGCAGCTTTGCTCATTGTGTAATCTCGCGGTACTTTAACCCCGCGGAGCAACAAAACTGTAGCCTTGAATAATGCATTGATTTATCGGAACCAGACGTGTGTAATTGAACGATAGAACATGTTGCGGTCCCGAACTTTCTCTATCCTTTTTCAACGTACGTTTATTGGTCTCTCTGAAAATATCAATACATTCACGATCGTGAAACACCATTAAACACATCTCAACATCTTGACGCCAAACTTGTTTTCTTTCGTCACATTTGTCATTTCTTAATGCGACAATTTATAGTATTAACATCGCTTAAAAAAAAAAATGCAATTCTATACTTTTTTTTTCTATGTCTCAAACCTTGATCTTTTTCAGATTAGTTTTTTATTCTTTTGATTTACACGAAAATCGATAATTGTATAATATCTCACGAAGATTAACATTCTTCGTTTCCTGTGCATTCCTCGACCTTATCTGCCGCGTTTCGTCTGGCGGGTTGTGATTTATTTCGCTGTAAATTATCTCAGGACTCTTTCGGTAATCACCGTCGTCTGTTTAATCATTCTTCGAAGTTTCCTACTTTTTATATTAGATATTGGCATTCTATTAAGTCGTTCAATACGAAGTGTCGTTTTCCTAATCGTTCTGAAATTGAAATTCATTGCTTTGAATGTTCAGAGTTTTCCCGTGTTAACTTCAAGTTCGTATAATTCTTCTTATGTTACTGTTAGGCGATCTAAGGTTTCGCGTTAGACGGCAATCGCAATATCTCACATTACACTACCTGATATTAATTAACAACTAATTACAGTCAAGAGAAATTAATTATCCGTTGTTCTCTTAAAACGATAGGTCTGCGGCACTGAATTGGCGATTTTCTTTTCTTTGTTCGTTATGATAATAAGGATTACAACGAAACGTAGTAATCGTATAATAAAATCGTTAAAAACGGAAGACAGTGAACGAACGGATATATCTCACATTACACTACCTGATATTAATTAACAACTAATTACAGTCAAGAGAAATTAATTATCCGTTGTTCTCTTAAAACGATAGGTCTGCGGCACTGAATTGGCGATTTTCTTTTCTTTGTTCGTTATGATATAATAACGAACGATAATAAGGATTACAACGAAACGTAGTAATCGTATAATAAAATCGTTAAAAACGGAAGACAGTGAACGAACGGACTGTGATACATGCACTGAAAGCAAAGATACAGTCCAATGACACGGACAAGTTACATAGCAGGGATGTTCAATAGAGCTAGTCGAAGAATCAACGAACGAAGATGAATGTCGCTTCGCAACGATCGCTTATTGCTAAAAGCAACATTGGCGAAAGTTGGAGAATTAATTCGAGAGATCGCGATGGTGACGTGTTCGTGTTACTTTCAAAACACTGTTGTTTCGTTCACCATCTTTCTCAGCAACATTTACCGAAAATATTCTTCCCAGAGAATTATTTACAAAAATTACAAAATTCCGTTATTCATTGCTTGTTTAAACGTTGAATCGCCATTCTGCATACTTATTACCGATATTTCGCCTGTGTTTTTAAACGTTCAATTTGAAATCAACACAAATGATTGTTTTCCATGTTTCACACGTATCGTTGAAAACCTACAAAAATAATGATATTTACAAAAAGAAAAAAGAAAAAAACGTAATCATTTTTCGAGAAATAAAGTGGTTCTTGTACATATGTACATACGTGTAATGACTCTTGATAATTGATTCCGCTCATTACCGGGAGGATAATTACAATTAACGTCAGACGTTGTTTGACATCTCCTCCTCCTTGTTAATGACTCTTGATAATTGATTCCGCTCATTACCGGGAGGATAATTACAATTAACGTCAGACGTCGTTTGACAGTTACATGCAACAGATCAAATGAAATATGCATCTCCTTGTTGATATTTTGAAATTAGTAGTAGATCGAACGTCCGTTCTGTTTCTTGGTAAAATAATCGTTATGTTGTGTGTCGTGTTAAGATCGATTTATGAGACTTTGACGGGTTCGACTTATTTCCTAATGGTTCGAAGACACTTTTCCACTAACGTAGCTGGCCTTTCCGCAACGTTATGTGTAATTTCGTGTCGTCACGTACGACGTACGATACCACCAGCGATCTGCATATTCGTCGGATTAATTCGAAGTCGTTCCGTGTTTTCTTTTTCGACGACCATAATCGATCATAATGAAATTTGAATATTTATGAATTTCGTATAATTGACGACATTGTTCCGCGTTACCGGTGAAACCGTCGTCACCGTTCCTATTTCAGTTTGTAATGTTACAAGTTTTTCATTTTACAGCGATACTAGATTTTCTCGTAATTTATTCATTCTCCTCTTGTTCAGATTACCGCCAGCGTTGATATTTCAACCTTCAACATTGCAACATTGCACTATTTTAATTGTATCGGAATAGATCGGTATCGGAATTTTTAGTCATCAACTGATTTACTCTATTATGATCACCATTGCAACTTTGTTTCGCTGTTATTGCAATATTGCAATTTTTTAACGGTATCACGCATTATACGTGTCGACGTTAAAATTTCTAATAATTGGTACTTTAAATGAAATTTACCATTGCAACATTGCAACTTTTTACTGTCGCTACTACCACCGCCGCGAACACAGTTATGCTAATAGTAACGTAACGTAGTGCAATATTTCTACATCAATAGCTCGTAAAATCCACGGGGATAAAAATGGTGGAGATAAAGACACTTTTTACGGGCGAAATAAATAAGCCAATGGTGATAAACGAAAATAGCCGTCGTTCATTTTAAGAGTATCTAGTATCCGTTATGAATTTGTGAGAAAAAAATGTCGGACACCGAATTCAAGGACACGCTGTGCACCTTGCACCTTGCACGCTGTTTCCCGGCGTTCCCTGCGAGTTTCAGCCGGTTTGCTTACTATTACGACACGAATACCCGCGGTCGCTGCCTTCATAGCACATTCATTGCTACACTAGACGGTATTCCGTCACTAAAACGACTTCCAGATGTTGTGTCGTTTCGATGGGAATCTCCCGAAACTGTAAAAAATTGAATTTTTTAGGTTAGAAAAAAACTGCATTGTCGATTAACCTGTAAACTGGGTAAGATGAGTTAACTCGTCATTGGTTAGCCAATAACTTAGAATTTATCGAAGGATTGTTCATTTTTAATTGTACCGTTATGCTTGTATTACATATAAAATACATCGTACATGAAACTAAGGTAATTGGTTAGAATTTTTAATCATTTTTTATTGTAAGAGAGATGAACCCAGTTAATAAGATAATGTAAAATCATCTTTGCATTCATTTTATCCACCATACAGCACAACAGTACACAATTACGTAATTTTGTCACATACGTTTATAACGAACAAATAAAATTATGCTCAGATTCGCAAAAATCGCAATTTCTGAATGTTACCATTGGAACGACCATGTCTGAAAACCAGTAGCTTTTCGATCGATCGATGACGAGTCGAGACATTGCGTTCGATTGTACAAACCGATAGGTTCGTGATCCCAGCTGCCTACTGTCTACTTCGTAGTGTGTGCAACAAGTTAGCTCGTAATAGAAAAGAGGTTCCTAATCGATGAATCATAGTCGTCGAGATATACATATATATATAAAATACCGAGCGGTGCACGCAAACCCGGCCACAAACGCAACACAGAGTTTTCTCAGTTTTATTTGGTAATGTACTTGACGTTTGGGTTACATTTGGTATGGTGTAGTGTACATCGAAGTAGTCATATGCGCACGCGCGTCGAGTAGCGTCTAGTGCGCATGCGGAAATACGAAATACAACATGGAAACTGTATTCTGCATTTGAGGCCGGTTTTATGTGCTCCACCCTGTTATTTTTGGTGTCTGAATGAGAAAAAAATTCTATCACGATTATCAACGTTTGTTTTTTTGCACTTTGTTTCAGTTGCAGAGCGACACGTGGCCCAATAATGCGAGAGCTATAACCGTCGGTACACCGCGCAAGAATCGATCGATAATCGAAGCAGAAGGGAACGAACGAACGAATCGGTGGTGTGATACTAGACATGCGACTAAGGACGTGATTCGTGGTCAGAGCAAAAGGCATCGTTTCCCCGGTGAAAAGAAACAGGCGACACTCGTACGCGAAACATTGATCGTGATTTTTACGGGCGAAGCATGACCAGTTCGGCGCAATGTTCCCCGTCTAGGTCGTCATTGAGCTGTTGTCAAATCGACCACACCAGCCACGACGACGTTCACGGAGTGACGATCACCACGAAGGACAATTATTTCCTTCAGGAGAAACATTCGTTTCCAAAGAGGCCCGAGGTGGATCTCAGTTTCTACGACGTGAAGTACTCGGTATCAGAATGGCGACTTCGAAACTTCAGACCGAGTAAGTTCAAATTGTTCCCGCCATTATTATTGCCGTTACTGGCAAAGTGTAAGATCCAGGCAACGTATAAGAAGCACGTCTTATTTCATAGTTTGCCGGTAACGTTGTCATTAAGATTCGTATAACAAATAAATTATTTCCAGTACTATCGGAAGTAAGAAGAAAATTACTAAGAGGAGTTCGTATGATTTGAGAACGTACATCTAGTGCTGATAAGAAAAATTTCCCTCAAGGTCATTTCAAGGTCATCGACATTTTTTTACATATTTAACATCTTTACCATCACCAGATGCACATCCTTAAATCATGAAAACTCTTCTTCATTTAGATGTTCATTACAAGTGCATCACCCTGTATGTGTAATCAGAAGAGAAGCTAAGGAAATTTAAGTTCACGTGTCTAAAAGGCTAAATATATACCACAAAAGGTTAAAATCAGTTCCTTTGTTTGGCAGGCCCATTGTAAGAATGTGGGTCACGCTGGTCATTCAGAAGTTCCTCTATTAGGCTGATATTCAAATTGGATTGTTTCTGCCAGAAGGCATGCTCGATAATCTCGTTCGTGAATCTCGATCGGTTTCCTGACACTTATACAATTATTCATAGGTTATTAATGTATCGCTTTCAAATCTGAAATACCTCTGGTCTGTCTATTTTTAGTCGTTCTCGAACTCCAATATAACTTTCACTAATCCTCCTCCGTTTGAACTCGTTTCTGGATCACGTTTACATCTTACCTTGACACATACATAGTTTATTCATAAACTCTAGGTAGAAGGTTACTCCTTTTGTATTATCTATTAGCATATCCCACATATGTAAGTTGCATTCTAATGAGAATAAAGCTGCTACGTTACTCGCAAAACCTTCTTATACTTTGAGATATTCGTCGAAGTCATGAAAATGCGCCCTAACGGTAAATATTCCATTCGAAGGCAATGTATTTCCTGTTTGGTGAATGGTCGAAAGACTTCAGAAACTTCTTCGCGAATTATTATCAAATTTCCATCGTTGTTGCGTCACAATTATACCTCCTCGAACATGTAAACTCTCCTTAATGTCGCGAATATTGCTTCACGCGTGACCATTGCAGTATTTTCATTTCCGAATGTGCAATAAAGTCCCAAGAAATGATACTGACATTCCCCCATCTTCGCTGTACAATAATTTCTCCACCTCTTAAACATACACATTTAAGGCGAGTTTGCAATTGCCTAATATCGCGAGTATTCCGTTGCGCGGGCCTACTTTTTCCAGCGTTTTCGCAACGAAACGAATGTTTCTCTTGAGGAGTGAAGAGCATCGCTTAGCCAACAACAAAGTGGCTTGTCGATTTTCCCTGAACGAGTGCGCGAAGGTACAGGGGGAAAAATACCGGGTGGCACACATGTAAACCGGTCTTAAACACAAAATACAGGTTTACGGTGGTAATCCTGTGCTGTACATTTGAGTTACGTTTCTTTTTGTATAAAAAATCGATATTTCTTAAATTGAAAAGTTTATCAGAATTTGTACGAATCATAACCTGAAAATTGTACTTTGCGTTTTATGTGTGCCACCCGGTATATTAAACAGGACACTTTGCAAACTTGTGAATTGAAGTTATTTTTTGGATTTCACACATGTAATTGGTTGTAATTTAACGAAGAAAAGAATATTGTAATTGTGCGCCACCCGGTAGAATTCTGCGCTCTGCTCGTCACGAGAAGTGTATCATAAACCCGTCACTACAGGAAAAATATTATTTCTCATTCAAAATATACAGCTTACATCCGATATCGTGCATTCAAGGTCAAACAGGTTCAACTTTTAACCGTTATTACTACATTCGTAATAAAAGAACACGAAGTATCGGTAAAATGATCGAAGACATTATCGCTTCTTATGAAACTTCTTTGATAAAGTCTTCTACTTTTTCAGATTACATATTCCATTGAAAAAAATTTTTTTTTACTATATTTCAAATTTATTTCTTACTATACTATTTATACCAATGAAATATTTCTCTAATCAAAGCAAATTAACTTACCTAAACAATTTTACTGTAAAGCCTTGTATCGATAAAATGATAACAGTCAATTTGTATCCAAAATTTTCATTAACATTACGTTTAATCTAATTTGTCAACTTATTTTACGAATTATCTTACGAAGTTACCCGTGAAAAAGTTGTCTCCACTTTTCTCTTGGGTGTCGTTTCAATGTTTGAAAGAAAGGAGTGAAAAAACATTTCGCAGGAACAAAGGAAAGAAAAAAATAAACGTGAACTTTCAAAACAACTTTCAGCGACCTCGAAATCCCGATCGGAATTTCTAATAGGGACCCAACACTTTCCTCCGGATAAGTAACTTCGAATTATCTCCGATGTGACAAAAAGAACAAGAGTCATCGTGACATTTACAATTAAAATAATCGTCGAACAATCGTTTCTTTTTTTTTTCTTCTCCTTGGAACGCGCACCGATTTTCGAAAGGTTAGCGCCAGAGCTTAGTCACATAGGTCAGTGTTCGATAAAACGGCGTTTTCTATGGTTTTTAGCGTATTAAACGTCATCCGTGACGTTTGGAGAAAGTAGCGTGGCGAAGTGGTCCTGCGAGTGGCGAGGAAAGTTTTAAACGGAGAAAGTCGCGTGGAGCATTTTGAAAAGAGCGGGGATTCCCCCTGGTGTTAGAAGTTGGCAAAAAGTGTGACGCGCGATCGCACGGAAAACGAGGAGAGAATGAACGGGAACACGCTTCGATGGCTCGATTTTCGACTTTTTTTCTTTTCTCGGAAAAGAGAATTTTTTCTTCTCAATTGAAAATACTTTATAACAGAAGGACAAAAATAAACAGAGAACAGGCAACTGTTGCGAAAGAAAATGGCGGGAAAACTCACGTGGTTGCACTTTTTCTTCGAAAGAAGAGAATATGCAAATTGAATTGGACGAGGAAAAATTGTTATCGCAAAGGCAACGATCGTTTGTGCTGTTGATTAATCAGAAGAATGAAATTTTCCTCGTAGATATCCATAAGATTATGTTGTTTAATTAGTGTGACTTTCTGGGAGTGTTGAATTGTTGATTCTTTCATGACACGTTTTTTTTATTAAGTAATTAATTTATTACTTTTGGTTATTTTTTATTTTATCGTACTTATATGTTATTTATTTATTTACGGGCATAAAAAACTCTCGTGAATTCCAGTAGTGCACACATAAGCGTTCGCGGTCGGGACCGAATGCGGACGCTTAAGTGGAGAGGTGACTTCTACGAATTTAACTAAACGAAAGAGAGGAGATGTGTCTGTGTGGGATACCGATGTATCAAGTGTCAGTTGTTCGCATTCAGGAGTCGATATCGAATTACATACTTTGTTTCTCACGGCACGCTCCAACCGCACTCCGAAGTCCCATTTCCAAGAATTGGTGGGGATAGCGATGGACGTTTAAGTGTCCAAAAATGCGGACGCTTATGTGTGCATTACTGTGGATGATTTCGATCATCCAGCTCTGATACATTCATACGAAGAACAATCCAAGTGATAGATTCATGAATTTTTCTATATCATTTAAGGTAACTTATCAAAATAATCTTGTGTAATCTCTATGTAGTACTCTACAGCCACTCGAAACAGCATTATAGCCACGCGTTTTGTGTATCGATCTTTCGATTGTGAGAAAAATCCTCGATAATCTTCACGGTTAGTTCGAATCTCGTTTATGCAGATCTCCCTTCTTTCGCAGAAATTTAAGAATAGTCGATAATAATAATATAACATATGTTAGAAATAATGGAAAGCACGATTCAAGAGAAAGGGAATAAACTACGGAAAGTAAGAACAGGAATGAAACGGAACGCTAGAAGAGAAACCAATAAATTGAAGAAAAAAGAAGGAGAATAACAAAGATTGTATCTATTATCAAAATTTACCAGATGTTCTTATCGAGTTGGCAATTTCATTTTGAAAATCGATCACGCCCGTTTATCATTGCATACGTTTAATTGTTCGGTTAATTATCGATTAAACTGTTCAATTAATCCTTTCAATTAATCATAGGTTGTTCGATTACTTCGACACCTTTTATCGTGACTCTCCGCCTCTGGAACTCGTGATTTTCCGGAAATATTTTCTATAGTACTAACGCTGTCATGCAAGAAAATTTACCGATTACGAAACACGCATGCATAATCGCTGGACGATAAGAATGCTCGACAAAAAGATCCGAGTATAATCTCACGATGTGATCTTTGGTATCTTAGCTTCAAGGACGTGTTTTACAGCCAGTAGGTCTTTCAGATGATTTACAGATCAGTCGTTGTTTTGCAGATATATTGGAAATGATTTTGAAATTCGAATCGAACTCGAATGAAATAATTAATCTGAAAATATCAGAATATTCATGCACGCTTTAGTCATGCTGTCAACGCCTTAAGGGGGTCTTCTAGTGTGACAGTTTCAAAAAATCGATTTTTATTTTTTTGCATATATCGAAAGTACAACTCTTTAAGAATGTACTCCTGAAGTTTTATAGTTGTATTCAATAAAATAACGAAGTTATAACTCGTTTAGTGTGACACATCAAGGGAGAATCTAAATTGCACTGAAAACTTTAAACGCGTTTTTCTCGGAACCATGTTTTCTGAAATGGTTGCCACGATCTGGCAAAAACTACTGAACCAATCAAATTCAAATTTTGCACATGTCTTTAGAACATGTGTGGCTATGGTCGGTAGTAGAAATATACATTTTTCTGATTTTTGGAGCCTCTGAAAGACGAAAAAAAGTCGAAAAAATCGATACTTTATATTCAAAGTGCCGCCATTTTTTAAATTTTCAATATTTTTCTTTTATTCTACTACCGACCATAGCGACATGCATACTAAATAAGAATCAATTGGATCTTTTTATTTTTGATAAGCGGAACAGCTCAAATCGTGGCAACCATGGACCTACTTTTTTTTTTCATACTCCTGACAGCAGCCATATTTAATTATTTTTCAAGAAAAATAATTTGTAATGAT